AACAAAAAAAAAAAGAGAAAAAAAAAGAGATTTTATATATTCTTGGCACACCGAATGGAAAAATTTTTTTTCTTCATTCCATTCCACATATCTTCCCGATTCAGCCATCTTCAAAATAAACACTTGGCATACACCAAACCGTCTTGGACCAAAATATTCCCTAGAACAGCAGGCTATAAAGTTTGGAAGTCCGCTTGGTAAGATCATAATTTATCTTGTCTTGATTTTCTAATGTGATACAATTCCTTTGGAAAAGGTCGAAATCCTATAAAGGTATGGAAATCGAATTGTAGTCAACTGATTTTCCCATGGTGAATATGATATTTAAGCGTATCAAAGTCTTTTGAGTCATTGGTCAAATTTTTCTCATTATGCATTCATGCCATTTGCCCGAGGACGAGCAAAACACTAAGTCTGGGGGAATTTGATCGCACGAATCTTGTCGTATTAACTTGCATATAATTATCATGTTATTCTCATGCTTTCATATTTAGATTAGGAATATTTTGGTTTGTTTTTGGTGTGTTTCATATTTTGTAGGTGACAAAAATTATTTTGGAAACATTTGGCAAAAATGGAACAAAAATGGAGCAAACTCGGTTTCATGGGCAGTTTTGACAGTTTGGACGAATTTGACTATAACTTTCTTATCTGAAGTCCAAATGACGTGATTCCAATTTTAAAAGATCATCAACTCATTGTAGTTATGATCTGGAAAAGTTGCGATCGAAAAGAGAAAGCATGAATCGTGGCCGAAAGTTGCAAGTCACGCTTCGGATCCAGAAAAGCAAAATGAGAAGGGTGTACTATCTCCTCCATAACTTTCGATTGGGAGCTCGGATTGCTTCGCCGTTTGTTTCACAGTAAACTAGACATCAAGAGCTTTCCATAGACACCAAGATCGTAATTTTTGGTGGAGATTTGGCCCTTCATCGAGCAGTTACAATCTGAGCAAAATTCTGGTTGCTGACATCATGGCTTACATCATGGAGACAACTCACCTAACATGCCACTACGAATTTCATCATTTCATCTACTTTTGCCCTTCAGAAACTCCTATAAATAGACCCTTAATCTGCTCTCATTGATCACACAACAACAAGAAACACAAAAACAAAGAGTAGAAGAAGATTTGGAGGCTTGGAGCATGAAGAACAAGCCTTGAAGATCTAGAGAAGCTTTCTCTTTCTCTTCTCTCTATCTTTATGTTTTTTTTATCATTTGATGATGTCTCTTGATCATTTCATGGCTCTAGAGTAGTTCTCTTGTTATGGGATAGGTTGAATTTGGTTTGATGAATAAGCTTGTGCTTGATTGATGATATTGTGTTCATATGCTCATGGTGTTGAAATCTTGAGTCTTAATGCTTGTTCTTGAATTAATTCTTGATCATGATTCTATAAACATGTTTTGAATTGAGAAATCCAAGCATGTTATGAACAAGATTATCATCTAGAAGTCATGATTCATTGAGAAATGATCTTGAATTCTCTAGGAACATTGATTAAACATGAACTTGTAATGCTCTTAGAACTTATATTTCATCATTGAGAAATGAGAAAATTTGAAGTATCTAAGTAAGAAGATTTGATCTTTTGAGAGAAAGATGATCTTGGATTAGAGTTTAAAGTTCCACCATGAATGCATATAAATCACATAATCATATTCTTAATGCTTGTTCATCGAATTAAGTTCATACCGATTCCCATAACGTCTTTTGATATTGAATCCAACTTTGTTTTTCCCATCCTCTTTGATAATCAAAAGTTTGAATCTTGATTTAGTTCACTAGATTTTTAGAAATATTGTTAGAAACAAAATTCCATTCCCTTGGGACGAACCTTAAGTACCATCGATATAACCGTGCACTTGCGGTTGTGTGTGCTTAAGTGACTTATAAATATTAAAGCTTGATCAAACTACGCACACTACTTAGCACGCATCAAGTTTTTGGCGCCGTTGCCGGGGAACTCGTGAAAATTGTTTTTGACGATAACTCTTTTAGTCTTGTGAACTTTCACCACGCCTTAAGTAAATCCATCTTTTTGTAATCTTGATAAATTTGTTCATTTCGTCTTTCTTGTTTATAATCCATTTTCCCTTTATATTTTTATTTCTAGTATACTTTGAAATTTTTTTTTGAATATTACAGGATGTTCGGTGCATGACCCGAAGTAGTGGAAGTGACAACTTGCAACCATACGACCCCGAAATTGAAAGAACGTATATCACTCGAAGAAGACAAACAAAAATGGCGGGCGTCAATAATCAACCACCACGACTTCCACCACCCCCTCAAGCACCAGAACCAGCCTTACGACGGGAGCCACGAGCCGAGACGTACGGTGACTACAACTCACCCAAACCCACAGAATTCCTGTCATGCATCCGAAGGCCACCGATCAATCGAACAAACTTTGAGCTCAAACCAGCATTTATTCAAATGCTCGCAAGCAAAACTTTCGGAGGATGGCCTCATGAAGATCCCAATGTTCACCTCGCAACATTCAAGAAAATGTGCAAATCAATGATTGTCGAAGGCGTATCTGAAGAGGCAATCTTTTTATGGGCGTTCCCATACTCCCTGGGCGATAAAGCGGAACAATGGTTATTCAACTTAAAACCTGATTCCATCCATACATGGGAACAAATGGAGCACAAGTTCTTGGAGGAGTACTTTCCGCCTCACAAGACGGCAAATTTCAAGGTGAAAATAAATAATTTTGTTCAAGAGAACGGCGAAAGTCTTTACGACGCTTGGCAAAGGTTCAAAGGTTACCAACGAGCGTGCCCACATCATGGCATGGATCGAAGGCACCTAATCTCAACCTTCGTTGAAGGGTTAAGGAAAGACATAAGACGTTGGATAAATGCCGCTGCTGGAGGTTCTATCCGCAACCTCACTTTTGAGCATCTCGAGGAATTAATTGAAGAAATGGCGAGAGATCGGGGCGATGACATGGATGAGTACGACCGAAGGGGAAACATAAAGTCTAAGGGTGAGTCAAGTGAAGTCCAATCCCTACGAGCACAAGTCGCCAAACTCACAGTTCTATTGGAGAATTCAAATGCGGTGACATCAATTCCACAAGACTCAAGCTACAATTACACCATGCAGACCCAAGAACAAGAGGTCGAGAATGTCAACTATGTGGCGAACAACCCCTACTCAAATACATACAATCCAGGTTGGCGTAATCACCCAAACTTTTCTTACAAAAACACCGGAAACACAGAAAATCTGGCCAATCAACCCCAAGCCCCAAGAATACTCCAAAGACCCCAACATTTTCAACCATACGAGCAACGCTATCAACCACAAGTAGCGCAACCCGTACTTGCACCGCAGCCGCAACCCAAAGATGAGCTTAAGGAATTGCTCCTAAGCATGCAGAAACAACTGTCTGCTGATATTAGACAAACAAACAACGAGATTCGAGGGATGAAGAATGATCAAGACGATATCCGCAAACAAGTCGAGGGAATCAACACACATCTGAAGCTCCTAGACAATCAAGTTGCCCAAATGGCGTCATCTTCATCAAGGCCCATGGGAACACTTCCTGGAAGACCTGAGCCTAACCCTCGGGAGCATTGTAATGTTGTTGAGCTAAGAAGCGGGAGAAAACTTGAAGATATTAAATCCAAGGAGAAACAAATCAATAAAGACGGAGGTAAAGACGATGTTGTCGATCCCGACCCTGACATCAAGGTGGCAAAAGAAGACATCCAAGATAAGTCATACATTCTACCAT